AAAAAAAAAAAAAAAAGTAATATAATATACTACAAAGAAACCTATAAAGAAAAGCATGACCTTAAAACCCAAGGGACCAAACCACACAGAATATACTCCTGGCCCCTTGTTTGAAGTACCTTCCACCAACAGGACATGCTAGGGAAGCTTCCGGCAGTATTTCCTGGGAACTATTCTGGAGTCAACAGTTCACGTAGTATTAAAAGGCACAACTCCCACCCGCTGGGCCAACCCCCTCCTCAGGATATTCATCTTCACTAGATTACAGGTCTCACCTTAATGTAATACTAGTCTAGGGGTAAGGTTGGCAGCCTATGGCAATAAATATTCCTACCAGCTCAAATACAGTCATGAAACTACAGGTGTCATTATGCAATAGTTTGTCCTGATCAATACCCATCCATCTCTTAGTGTCCAACAACGACTTGGATAAATAACTTGCTAAATTTTAAGCTGTTATCTTTAACTGTCCTCTTTAGGATGGTTGGCATTATTATCTTTTTTTCTTTTTCCTTCTAAAATGGGCACTAATTAGAAAGGCAAAATGTCATTTTATCGCTTCCCATATCAGGAACTGCAAAAGGCTAACATCAGCTCTCCATTAATAAAATAGTATTAAGCTGAAAACGGGGCAGTGAACACAATCTGAATTACACTATGGCATACTCTATTTTAATGGGATGGTCTGTAGTAATTTATTTAGCAAAAGAGGTAGAATTTAATTTTAAATATTTATTAACAAATTAATTGGGGGAGTACAAAATATTCAAGTTATTCTATTCATTATAAAGTAATAATTTAAGTAAGGCTCATCCACAAATATTATACTTAGCTTTAATACAATATTGAACCACAGAAGTACCTTATATAAAATATATATAAATGAGACTAAACCTTTTTTAAAGAACAGACTTCAATATATGGGAACCCATTAACAAATACATCCTGAGTGATAATTTATTCATCTACCTCCTTAAGATGTAAGATTAAAATGAATATTAAGTTCTCTCACTAAGCAATCTAGGCATAATACATCTCAACTCTGGAAAAATACACAATAAATTCTGAATTAAAACAATAAAAATTTGACTTCCATGTTACAACCATGTTTTAAAAAATAAATACATGTGCTTTATACACCAAGACTGCTGAGTACATAACATATATTTCTTTAAAGATTACCATTTTAAAAAACACATACTACAATTTTACTTTTAATAAAAGAGTAAAACAATTTCATCCCAATCTTGTGCCACACTGTCAGTCCTGAAACGCCCTGAGCTGTCACCCACATTCCCACCTCACCTCACCAGTGAATGGAAATAACTGAGCAGCTTCTACTCGTGACTTTTCTAATTTAGCCATCCTGGGAACAGCTTGTAAAGCAAACTAGTATAGGTCAAAGCATGGGCGAGGCTGAGCTAATGAGAAACTGACAGCCGTAGCACAAACAAGTTAAACTGTAAGGTTCCAAAGGATCCACGGCCACACTAACAGTGGCTCTGCGTGCCCTGGTGAGAAGGCACTCACCTTGAATCAGGGTGAATCATTCGGCACCAAAGATTTGATTTGAAGGTTAATGACAAAAGGTGTAAAAGTTGTTCCCAATATTAGTTAATACATAACTTTTAAAGTCAGAGGTGTTTTCAAACCTAAGCAAAGATATCTTAAGTGCCATTGTTTTTATTTTATTCAAGTTTTCCACCAAAGATTTATTGAGCAAAAAGCAAGCGCATTTGCCTCACATGGTAGAAGTCATAACACATTAACCACCACTTGCCGTGCTCCTTCTACTCTGTGCCAGAAAACGTTCCAAGTGCCTTCACACCAAATTCCACTTAAGCCCCACAAGATCTCTGAAAGGTAGGCTTTATTAGTCCCATTTCGCAGATCAGTAAACTGATGGGTAAAGGGCTTAAACACAGTAACACTAAATAAAAATGTTGGTAACTCTACCACAATTTAGTAACATAGCAGAAGATGAAGCCCAGCTAAAGTTCTGAAACG